TAGAGTTTTAGAGATTAGTGATTAGAGTTGTAGAGATTAGAGAAAAAAAAATTAGAGTTTTAGGGTTTAAATTGATTTTGGCTCCGATACCATGTCAAACTTTAGAGAACAAGTTTAGTGTAAATGTTTTCTGTGTGTTGTATTACGATATTCACAAGATATATATAAAACCTAGGAGAAGAGAATAGAGCTTAACATCGGCCCATTAGCTAAATACAATACAAGGTCTAACAAGAGGGGAAATTCATAAAAAAAAGCAACCTCTCCTATAAAACCTCTGGTACCATAAGCACCTAAACACAATTATTTATTTTTTTAAAAAAAGTGGTAGTTAATATATTGCTTGCTTAAAAGAGATGTAAATTACAATAAAACTTCATAAAATTCCATCTTCCATAGAGCACAAACAAAACAATATTCAATGGAACATATACATCTATCGCTTTAACTTAAATTCGATTAAGTACCAAAACTTTAAAATTGGATTAGAAGGGAAAGAAGAAGCCTCATGGGCATGAAGTTGTAAACCACCAGCATCTCTGCAAAATTTTCATGCTTTCTCCACTGATAAATATAGATAGGACACAGCAGATCATATCAGATATCACCTTGAAGATCCTCTTGCACTCAATGCTTTTACCGAGGAATCTCTGCAAAATTATGAAGCCTTGTGTAGACACCCATTTGTGTCTCCCCAAAACCAAACCCAGTGATGAGTACCCTTCACGTCGAATCATAATCGAATGAAACGAAAGTGTGGAAAGGTCTAGTGTTGCGGAAAGTTTTAATTTCTTTTCTCTTCTCTCTATTTTTGAAAACTTATTTTAAGAAAACAGTCAATCCAGTTTGGTTGGTCCATGATATGGGTCCAATAGTAGTGTAGTTGGATGGGGCTTGCAAAGACCTTTCCAACGATATATTATAAGCCCAATTCCGATGAATATTGAGGAAGTTATGGCCAATTTACCAAATTGGGCCCGGTTTGAGCTTTATATACGACCCAATGATCTTGGGGAGGGCCTAATATGATTTATCATTCCTAATGAAATTAGGAATGGTTTTAGTCTTCTAGAATCTTCTAGAAGGTTCTTTTCATTCCTAATTCAATTAAATTGACTTTTGTTGACTTTTCAGAGTTTTAATCAAAATCAAATAGCATTTTTGAGGAAATTATATTATTTTATCCTCCAGTACGGTAAACTTATCGGATTTTCGAAAACGCGTTGGTATCAGGCTTGACGCCAAACCCCAGGCCTTGGCGCTAGCTAGCCAGGGTTGGCGCCAGCCCTGTTTTCTGAGCGTTAGACTCTGTTTTGTTAATTTATCTTTTTTGGCTGATTTTCTCTATAAGTATCGTATTAAAAACTCCGTTTTGAGAAATTATTTTACATCCATCATTCATCAACAATCATTAATTCTTTAGCATTCTCTAAAATCAGTCATTTCTCTAAAACATTCAATTCTTTCTTTCAAACTTTGCTTTTTCATACAAAATTCCGCATTCACAAGATCTAGAAACACCTAGCCATATTCGAATTTGCCTTCGCCTTAGACGTGAAAGGTTTTAATTTCTGAGGGTTTGGTCCCAAATCTCTCTTTCAATTATTTAATTTAATTGTTTTGTTTATTATTTTCCTTGAAGTTACTAACGTGTGTATTTTGTTATTAGAAAGAGGTACGAGGCATCAAAGTAAGTACTTTATAGTTTTAATTGATATTATGATGTAGATATCATGTTTATATTGTTATTATGATATTCCTAGTATCATGCCTAGGGTATTGTTAATATTAAATATGATTGTTACGATGCTTTTTATGTTCTTCCTAATATTTGTGATTGTTAGTATCATGTTAGGGTTAAAGATTTGATTTTTATTGCTTAGTGACATGCTAGGGTTTGTTATTAATCTTGTTAGTATCATGCCTAGGATCTTGCTATTTTTATTATGCTTTAATATTAACATGAATATGATTATGATTATGTTTATTATTATTTTGATGATGATTATTCATGATTATTATTATAATTATTATGATTATTATTATGTTGCTTGATGATTTATTGTTGTTGCTTGATCAAGCCTTTATTGCATGCTTAAAGGGAATTATGTACTTGTACTCACGCTTAATAAGATATTTAATAATCTTGTTGAGGGTTAATGTGATTATAATTTCAAGTGATCGCCAATAATGGTTTATTTGTGCATTAAATTCAACCAACATAGATAAACAGGTTTAGGGTTAATCCTATTGATTGCATGTTAATCAGAAAGCGCACATGAATACGATCAGAATAAAGTAGAGGCCTATTATTAGGGCAGGTTCAATCTCTTTTAGGTTGGATTTGTACCTTCATCCCCGAACCCTTATTTGGTTCATGACCTTATGGAGTTGACGATCTCTTGGATCATTAAGGGGTGTAACCTTCACCTCGTGAATGGTTTACAAGTTCCTAAACAACTTGTTGGCGACTCTTTTGCTCTATCTTCTTCCCTTTTGGACGCCATCGTACTTTAGTGTATGATCACAGTGGGGTTCGAGCTAGTGGGATTTTTAAGTCTTGAAATTATTCCTTACAGTATTTTGGCGACTCCACTAGGGAGGATTTCTATTTTAATTCCTGAATTTGTTTCGGCAATGATTTAGAATGAGTGGATGAGACTCGAAAAGTTCTAAGTATTTCATGTGCGTAATTTTGATTAACATTATTGTCATATGCATAAAAAAGATCTCATTGGAAAGACCATCCGTAATGAGTTAAAAACATAGGGTTTTACACGTAGGAAATTTGAGGAATGTCTTTCACAACTAGGACCGAAATAACACCGCGCCAAACTGGAAAATTTTATCGAGCACAGAAAGCTGCTGAGGCATGTGGTAAGTAGCGTCAGGGGCCAGAGCTTGGCGCCAGAATTTTAGCCGTAGCGCCAGACGCCAGTATTGGCGCCAGTCTCTGATTGCTGGCGCCAATTTCCCCCTATACCGAGCCAGAAATATGCGTTCTAATTTCGACCGGTTTTTCGTATTGTTTGCTCGATCCTACTTCCTGATTGAATTTTTTTTTCTCACTTTTCTGAAACCCATATGTGTTCTACATATGGACATAACCCTCTGGGAATTCATGCTCCATCTACCCGATTGAACGCTCCGTGCAACAAAGGGTACATCCGAGATGTTGAATTCACCAAACCATGGAAGCGAGTTTTTTCTAAAGCTTGCGGTGTCCCATCCACTCGCGCCAACCCTTCACGGTTAGGCTTCCGCGCGGTGCATCCGGATAATTAACCATGGACCCTCTATTGACTAAACCATATCCCGAACTTTAGAGAACTAGAGCCATGGTTAGGTTGCGAACTCATTGCATCATATTGTGCCTACTTGACTAATTGTGCATTATTTGTTGTGCATATATATTCTATGTTTCTCTTAACCGTTTGTTGACTTGTGTTAAGACTAAATAAATAAATTAATGACTTAAAGAACTTTGCCTAATTAATTAATTAGAGTCAATAAAGTCTAATATTTTAATCGGAATTGACCTAGTACGACTTTAGGCATACCCTAGTTGACTAATAACACTGAAAACAGTCCCAGATTGAAGCTCCACTATTGGCGCCAAGGTTTGAGCTGTAGCGCCACACTATTGGCGTGTCTGGTCTGAGCTGTAGAGTCAATAAATTCTAATATTTTAATCTGTGATGTCAGTGAGTCATGGATCAAACCAAATTATTAGCTTAGCATAGTTTTTTTTGCCAGAAGATGCTTTTGAACAGCCATCCCCCCTCCCTCTTTCTTCAGAACCTCCATACTCATTGTACAAGGAAGTGTTATTGTATTGATACCTTTCAATTTGATGCAAAATGATAAATAAGTGGAGGTTTTGGAACAAAACCAAGGGTATCTATGTTCATTTGGACAGAAGCAGCTTGATTAAGTGGTTTTTAGATTCATTTGGACAGAAGCAGCTTGAAATAATGTATACATTCCCATTTTTTTAAATGACATCCCAGATTCCCAGTGGCTTTAGCTACTCATGATAGCAGAGCACAATATCTATGTTCTGTTCATGTTTCATACATGATTATAAAAGTCAAATACTGATTATCAGTTTCTGATAATTTATTGTAGTAAGGGTGTGCATGAATGCATAAAATTGCATGGTCTCCTACAGTTAATCACACCCCTTTATTCTAGGATCATAAACGGTTAGTATCCATTTATTGTAGATTTATGCCAATTAACTGTAGAGAATAATAAGGATGCCCTGAAATCCAAACATATGTAATGTCATAAACTGCCACTTTAAAATATGATATAAGTTAGTTAATAAATCAGAAACCTAAACAATTAACTACGAATTCATGCAATTATGCAAGCAAAAGCTATAAAAATGGAGAAACAGATAGAATCTTATAATAAGTGAAATTAAAGATAACAAGATTTTATTAATCTGTAAGGGTTTCCATGGTTATATTTCATATTTTCTCTTCTTACTCAAACTTGCCAGCTAAATTATAACACGAACAATGCTTGGATTGACTATTGATTTTGGATTGTACATATATACGTAGTATATTGATATAACATATAATGTCATATCTTGCACCCTATAAGACCAACATGATCCTAAGTAACAGCTACGCACGAGTGGAAATGAACCAAGAATAAAGGAGAGTGCCTGACTATAGGAGACCATGCAATTTCATGTATTCATGCACACCCTTACTACAATATATTCTGAAGCTCTCCAGCAGACATATGGAATATAAACAGCTAATAAGCTATGCACTCATAAGTCAATTCAACGTGTATCTTCACATGGAGCCATTCTGATAATCAACCTTCAATTAATCATAATCTCTCTAATTGAAAAATAATTGTATTTATAATTCCATTTTTATTAATATTTCCTCAAAGAGAAACTTTTTTTACCTTTGGATTTCACTTTAGAAACAAAGAATTACTTACGGAGTATAATACAGTAATTGACTTTTATAATCATGTATCTTGTACTGTTAAAAGTTTAATTTATGATTTTGTATTTTCACAATGTAGGAGAAAGATCTTGAAAAGCAAGGAATACATGTCTCAAACGTGCCTCGACATTTGACTTGGATTAAAGCTCATTCTCACGTCAAGAATGGAATTCTGACCGTTGACAATCCTGCTGATAAAGAAATCCATGATGCAATAGTAAGTTAGCAACAATCTGATGCAATTTCTTGTTTTTTTGGTAACCACCTGCATGTAATATAAGTTCTTTACTTTACGGCTAAAAATAGATACTAACCGTTTATAATCTTGGGCTCGTTTTACAGATTAGATTGGAGGCCCAAGTACAAAAAGGTGAAATAGTTGCTACAGGTCGAGATGATATCTTGTCAAGAGCTTTAAACAAACCAGAGCATGGAGGTTTTGTTAGGGTTGTTGGATCAGGCATAACTAACAAGGAGTACTTTGGATACAACAAACCAACCGCACCAAGCGAATTACATGCTAGAATGAATGCGATGAACTCAAGGATGGCAACAATGAGCAAGCAGCAAAACTTTATAATTTCCTTCATGATGTCATGCTTAACCCAAGAGCAATTAGGAGCATTCATGGGTGGTGGTGTTCAGCAAGGTGTTTTTGGTGGCGATCTTGCAAATTCAGGTGGGCTGCTTGGTGGGGAAGCAGGAGGTTCGGGTGGTTTCCTTGGTGCTTTTGGGAACCATTTTGGTTCTGGTGACATGAGTGGTTCTAGTAGCCAAGGGGCAGCTGGAAATGGGTTGGATGTTGCTCATTTAGACAACTCATTTGGTAATGGTGTCCCTCTCACACAACTCTTGATGGGAGGTATGGAAAGGCACGGCGTTGAAGGGCTTCACATTGGACATGATTCACCTATGGATAAATCTCACAAACAAGCCTATACTGAGCAAAGAATTGCGACAAACTCAGAACCTCAGTACACAAAAAGCCCAATCGTGGTCCATCCTCAACTTCAGAACCTCGAGACAGCGGCAGAGGTAGAGGCATACCATGTTCCTTGGCCTGAGGTGAACCATATGAATGCAGTTGAGCATACTCCAATTCCCCCACATCAAAGTCAAGTTGTGAATACCAACAACAACTACACATTTCCTGAGGTAAAGCCTTCTGAATTATGGTCTTTGTTTTCAAGTCTCATATAATGCGAAGGTCATTTAAGCGAGATTTCATGTTTGATATCTGGTTGAGCCTTTTGTTTTCAGGGATGGAGTGATTGCCGCTTGGCAATTGAGGGAAGCGACAAAGAGCTACAGATTGTTGCTAACGGAAAAGTTTACATAGAAAACAACACGGAAGTTCTTGGTAATCATACCATATCGTTGCCCCATGGTCATCGTCGAGTAACCATTACAGAAGATTTAATGCCTTCTGCTCCCTTGTCGTGTCCCAATGATGAATTGATCTTTGTTTGTCAAGGTAAGAAGTCTTTCACAGCTTGGCCAAATCATTTGATACTCCCCCCACAGGTAAAGGAGCAAATCTGCATTCTTTTGCTACTATGTTGTTTCTACTATGCTCTTGCTACTGCTTCTGCATTCTGCATTCCAGTTATCATAGAATCTGCCCTAGAGTCCTTGAAATGCTCCCTGCTGCTCCTGCAATATGCATTCTGCATTCTGCTCCTGCATTTTTCTCCTGCATTCTGCATTTTTCTCCTGCATTTTGCATTTTTTCTTTTTTAGTTTTAATAGTAATTTATAGCTTTTGCTTTTACTTAGGTAAAAGAGGCCAAAAGAAAGCATCATTTTGTATTGGATATCTTCTTTCCTTACTTATAATAATAATTAATAGCTTTTGATTTGTTTTGCAACTTTCTAGGAAAAGCTAGAAAATTACTTAGGCTAAAAGAATATAAACAAGTTCAAATAAAATTATAAAGATAAAATTTAGAATGCATTATGCCTAGAGTAAAGAATATAAGTTTAAGATAGCAACACACCTCCCATAATGTAGCTCCAGCACTGAGTCATCCATCTGATCATGCCCATGAAAAGTAACTGAAGAAGACCTAGCCTGTCAAAGCCTCGACGCTGATAATAATTTAATAATCTTCAGATGGAGTGATACATGTGGAAGTTAGTGGTTGGCTGCTCTGTTTTTTGTCGTTGAGTCTTATTCGATCTTTGAGTTTCTCATTCTTATTTGTTGATTTCTTGTTCAATTTCTATTTGACCTGGGCTTTTATGATCGGCAGGTCTGTAATTTGCCTTTTAGTATTACAAATGTTTAGGTGAGCCAACAAGTGCTAGCTCTTCTTTAGTATTCTGGTTCACAGTGAGAATGTACTGATAAATGTTAATGATTGTCTGTCTTTGTACATATAAAGCTGTCACAGTGAGATGGTACTGATAAATGTTAATGATAAATGGTTCACAGTGAGAAAGTATATCTTGTGATTCTGGTTCACAGTGACAAAGTATAAGTCTGCTGCATCTTTGTACATATAAAGCTGTCACAACAAATTTGTATAATCTGAATTTGGTCATGTACCCTTAAAGTAACTCTCGAGTTCCTGATTCATCTTAATCAAGCTAAACTCTCTTATTTTAAGCTCCTGATTAGTTGTTGATTTACTTTTGTTGCGTTTTTGTCACTTTGGAGTTTGTATAATCTGAAAGATTTGCGTTTTTGTTGATTTACAACTTGGTCCCTTCTTACTTCTTAGCTTCGAGACTCGAGATTCTTATGTGGTTTTTGTCTTCCCTTTTAGATTCATGTGCAAGATTTCTTCTTCTAAAGCTTACATGCGTGTTATTTTTGTGTGAAACCATATTATTAAGGCGGACAAGCAACTAGATAAGGAGTTGAATATGACCACACCATCCCCTCGATCAACATCCTCCCAAGCATCAACCACTCGTACCTATGTTGTTACCGACAAGGATCGTGAGAAGGTAACATCTACTTGGATGCGTGTTATGAGAAAAAAAGCTATGGGAATGCAAAAGACGGGTGATACCATCTCCATAACTATCCCGGAAAGCGTGTTTCTTAACGAAAATGGGTTGGATGTTTCACTTGACTTTGAAGACTTGCTTGATTGGTGTTTCCAAAGGGAGGTCGGACAATCGCAAATGAAGGTCTTCATGAAGTAAGTTTCCATATAATATAGGTTCTAATTTTATTATTGTTTTTTTTGGCCCATTAACTAATATTCATATGACTTTTCATGGGAAAAGACACCTAAAAGAACGTTATCAAAAAGAAGGTGTCTCGGGAATGTATGGGTTCTGTGACTGTAATGTTCTTTCACCATTGACACCGACAACGGATGAGCAAGTTCGATCTGACTACTTAGCCCATGTTTTTGGAACCAATGAGGGGAAAAATGTTAATCAATTATTCTTTGCTCCTTATAATGACAAGTAAGTGTAGTTTCTTTTTATTTTTTTTTATAGATCTGAGTTATGTTAAATCCTCAAATTTTAATTAATCCCATTACTATGTATTTATTTTACAATATGTCTAGTCTGCATTGGACGTTAGCGGTGATTAGTCCATGGAATGGGTTGGTGTATTGGTTAGATCCACTTGGAGCAGAAAACGAAATCAACTCATTTGCACAAAAAATCATCAATGAGTATGTACTACTAAAATATTCACTTGGTTAACTTCTTGTGTTTATCTTATTGTCTAATCAAAATTAATGAAACCGTGCCATCTTGAAATGATTTTGTAGGGGAATAGTTAAATTCAGCATGAAGCATCGAAAAGATATCAAGAAAATAAAAAAGAATCCAAAAATAGGGTGGAAGCAACCACGTGTAAGTCATTATTATTTTTAGCATATTTCATACCTAGTAGTGTAAAATCAGATCCTAAACTGTGCTAATGGTTATTTTTTTGTATCAGTGTCCTCTACAATCTGCATACACAAAGCATTGTGGTTACTTTGTATGTCGCTATATGCTGGACATTATACAGAACAGAGTATTATGGATTTCTGAGCAGGTATATTCAACATACATGTCATTTAAACTTGGTATTTTATTTATGCATGCATATGTTAACCCCTCTGTCTCCTCCCCCCTCTTGCATTTCCTTTGGTATTGAAGATTACTCCCATCTTGATAATTGGACTGTGTTCAGAACTTGAATTGCTTGCTTTATTGATGGCCTGTGATTACCATTGTTTGATCACCTTTGTCCAGTCAATCAAACCCATTTATAGTTTATAACTGTCAATATTTGGAGAATGACCATGTAAAATAGGAACTGCTGATTATAATGAAGGCAGAGTAGGTTACATTGAACTTTCAAGTACTAAGAAGTTTTTTTTTTTTTTTTGAGGAAAAAGTACTAGGAAGTTTTTTAGTACGCACCTGTAAGCTAACTACTGATGGGTATATTGAACTTCATAATGCTTGGATTGTGTATAATGATCACCAGTTTTTGCTTGTTGGGTTAGTAGCTTTAATTACCTGACTGAAGATAGTGGCTTTAGCTGTTTGCTGGAATTACATGATAAGAATAATGTGGTTAAGATAATCACCTCTAAACTCAACAAACGGAGATCGAATCGCCGATAACAGCACCTTCATCACACAAAACTGAACCAGCTCATCTCCCAAACCACAACACTTACAAACGGATTCAATCAGCAGAAAAACCAGCAAATTGTTGTTGCCATCGGAAGAACGATCGAGCTCATAATCCCTTTCCTTGATGTGTTCCTTCCATAAGATAATCACCTCTGTATTCTGGATTTAAGTAAGAAAGTAGGCAAAGTAGCTCTTTAGCTCAATTGTAAATGCATGTAATCTAATTTGTTGTTATTTCATAACTTTTATGGTAATTATATATCTTCTTTACTCATTTACTAATGGCATATGTTGTAGATTTTTCCCAAAGATCCTTGCACATATTCTTCAGAAGAAATTGACGAGATTAGAGACTTATGGATTCAATATGTTCTTGATCATGAGGAGCCGGAAGAACCTTAGTGATTGGTAATTACAACATGATTACTGTTAGTCTTGATACTTGAAAAATCTCTACATTTTGTATTTTGATACATTACATTGGCAATTAGCTATTACTGTGTACATATATTAGTACTGTGTTGGATATATATAGTTTGATGCATATATATATATATATATATATATATATATATATATATTTTGAATGCTATTTGTATACAATATATTAGCAGGTTCAAGGATTATTTTTGGTGCAATTTAATAATATTGAGCAGGATATATATATATATATATATATATATATATATATATATATATATATATATATATATATATATATATATATATATATATATATATACACGATTATTTTTGGTGATTACAGGTTGGAAGAAAAAAAAAAAACTGGAATCATTTGGCGCAAAAATTTAATGCAGCATGCAGGTAGCTAGGATTTAAAAATTTGATTATTCGAAAGAAAAAACGGTTATCATACATGCATGGTCTATAAACAAACGTTGTATATTCTTTTTAAAAAAAGAGAGACCGCCTAACTAAGAAAATGGTCTTAGTTATTTCAAAAACTGAGACCGCCTAAGTTAAAAAAGCGGTCTTAGTTTGGTATACAAGAGACCGCTTTTCTCACAAAAACGGTCTCTTATCCTTCTACAATTTCAAAATATCAACCACCCAAAGAGACCGTTTTTCTTAGATAATAGGTCTCTGGCATAGCAACATAAGACCGCCTCTTTACAAGCGGTCTCTTAGCCAAAGAGACCACTGAGCTAGAGACCGCCTCTAAAGCAGTCTCTTTGGCCTTTTTCAACTGGTCTCTTTGGCCTTTTTTGTAGTAGTGTATTATGGTAGTCGCAAATAGTAGTTGCAATTTTTTTTATTTGCAACTAAATATTAGGGTAGTCACGAATATGAGTCGTAAATTAGCGACCGCATTGCAACTAATGTAAAATTAGTTGCAAAATTTGCGACTACTAGTCTTTTTCAGTTGCAAAAATATTTTTTTTGCGACTGAAAATTAGGGTAGTTTTAAATATGAGTCGCAAATTTGCGACCCCATAGCAACTACAACAAAATCAGCCGCAAAATTTGCAACTACCCGTCCTTTTCAGTTGCAAAAATATTTTTTGCGACTGAATATTAGGATAGTTGCAAATATCAGTCGCTAAATCGGCTTTTTCTTGTAGTGAGTAATCCTTTAAGAGTTTATATTACAATAAGACTGTCTCTAGATTTACACTCTAAGGAGTATTACAAAGTAGGAATAGTGGATTAGTAAAGAAGGTAAATAATACAAGGATGTGTAGATGTAGGAAGGCTTGTGCATGGTATGGTTTCTTGTGTTGTGTTGTATTTAATGATTGAATGCCCATGACCTATATTTATAGATGTGGATGGTGTTTGGATGAAATGACCGGAATATTCTAGAAATTCCTCCATCATTCTTGTATCCATAATGTTTTAGAAAATTCACAAACCATGTATTATATTCAAGCTAATAGCTTTCTATGTCAATAATTCTCTAGAACATTCAAATAGGATATTATTCTAGAGAAATAAAGAGCAAATAATGACCTTGCTTGATTATTCCGGAAGCTTCTTGAATATGCACAATACTCCACCAAAGTAATGGGCTTATAAATTTGAGTCATACCCAACAAACTATAATCTATTAATGTAAGATTGTGACACTTTTACTCTTTTTCCCGCATAATTGTCAAGTCTCAAGAGATCCATCGAGTGCAGATTACGCCTTACTTAACTCCTTTCCCTTTTTTAGAAGATCATGTAACAAAGCAAAAGGTCTCTTGCATAAACTCTTATTCAAAATAATATTTCAAGGCCTTCCATCTCATAAACATATACTAACTTATCTAGACCTTAAAATTACATCTTCTATTCCTAGCTATTCTCGTGAACAAAGAAACCACCCGATTGTGGAAAATATCTAAAAAGACGAAGAATGAGAAGTTGAGCTCAATTATTCATCACACGATTCCCTTTTTCATCGCCCTTTTGTGCATTTTACAAAGCCAAAAAGATAGTTTTAAACAATCCTTCTTTCTATAACATGATAACATCCACAATAATGAATCAAACTCATCCCCATATCCTGCCAAACTAAATCAATCTAAAAATAAAAAATAAAAAATAAAAATAAACTGACATAGTTAAATAATACAGTGACAAGAATGCTTACATAAAGAACGTTATACAAAGATGAATGTCCCTATAAAATTGCTTCCACTACATTATCTAAGGGCCCATTCTCATTGACTGAACTCAGCTGAACTGAACTTGTAGACACCCATTTGTATCTCCCCAAAACCAAACCCAGTGATGAGTACCTTTCACGTCGAATCATAATCGAATGAAGCGAAAGTGTGGAAAGTCTAGTGTTGCGGATAGTTTTAATTTCTTTTCTCTTCTCTCTGTTTTTGAAAACTTATTTTAAAAGAAAACAGCCAATCCAGTTTGGTTGGTCCATGATATGGGTCCAATAGTAGTGTAGTTGGATAGGGCTTGCCAAGACCTTTCCAACGATATATTATAAGCCCAATTCCGATGAATATTGAGGAAGTTATGGCCAATTTACTAAACTGGACCCGGTTTGAGCCTTATGTGCGGCCCAATTATCTAGGGGAGGACCTAATATGATTTATCATTCCTAATGCAATTAGGAATGGTTTTAGGCTTCTAGATTCTTCTAGAAGGTTCTTTTCATTCCTAATTCAATTAGCATTGATAAATTGACTTTTGTTGACTTTTCAGAGTTTTAATTAAAATCAAAAAGCATTTTCGAGGAAAAGATACGATTTTATCCTCCAGTACGGCAAACTTATCTGATTTTCGAAAACGCGTCAAAAACAGGCCTGGCGCCTAACTCCAGGCTTTGGCGCCTAGAACCAGGCCTAGCGCCAATTAGTTGGTGCTGGCGCCAGCTCTGTTTTAGGTGCGCCAACTCTATTTTGCGTGCGCCAGACTCTCTTTTGTTAATTTTATCTTTTTGGCTGATTTTCTCTATAAATAACGTATTAAAACTCAGTTTTCGATAACCAGATTTCATCAATTCTTATTTCAATTCACCAATTCTCATCAACAATCAGTTTTAATTAATATTCACCTACAATCAGTTTTCAATTCTCTCTCATTCTCTCTTAATCATTCATTCATCTCTTTCTTTCTCTTTTTTCTAAAAATTGTTTTTTACATACAAAATTCCGCATTCATTAGATCTAGAAACACCTAGCCATATTTGAAGTTGCCTTCGCCCTAGACGTGAAAGGTTTAATTTCTGAGGGTTTGGTCCCAAATCTCTCTTTCAATTATTTAATTTAATTGTTGATTATTATTTTCCTTGAAGTTACTAACGCGTGTATTTTGTTATTAGAAAGAGGTACGAGGCATCAAAGTAAGTGCTTTAATGGTTTTAATTGATATTATGATGTAGAAATCATGTTTAATTGTTATGATATTCCTAGTATCATGTTTAGGGAAAAGGTTATAATATCAAATATGTTTATTATGATTGTTGCGATGCTTCCTATGCTCTTCCTAATATTTATGATTGTTAGTATCATGTTAGGGTTAAAGATTTGATTTTTATTGCTTAGTGACATGCTAGGGTTTGTTATTAATCTTGTTAGTATCATGCCTAGGATCTTGCTATTATTATGCTTTAATATTAACATGAACATGATTATGATTATAATTGTTATAATTTATGATGATTATGAATATTATTATTATTTTGATGATGATTATTTTATTTATGATTATTATTATTATTGTTTTGATTATGATTATAATTTTATAATGATGATTATTATTTATGATGATTATAATTAATTTATTGTGTTGCTTGATGATATTTATTGTTATTGCTTGATCACGCCTTTTTATGCATTTTTAAAGGGAATTGGTATTTGTAATAATGCTTAATAAGATAATTAATAATCTTGTTTAGGGTTAATTGTGGTTATAATTTCAAGTGATCGCTAATAATAGTTTATTTGTGCATTTATATTCAATCAACATAGATAAACAGGTTTAGGGTTAATCCTATTGATTGCATGTTAATCAAAAAGCGCACATGAATACGATCAGAATAAAGTAGAGGCCTATTATTAGGGCAGGTTCAATCCCTTTTAGGTTGGATTTGTACCTTCATCCCCGAACCCTTATTTGGTTCTAGACCTTATGGAGTTGACGATCTCTTGGATCGTTAAGGGGTGTAACCTTCACCCTGTGAACGGTTTACAAGTTCCTAAAACTTGTTGACGACTCTTTTGCTCTATCTTCTTTCCCTTTGGACGCCACCGTACTTTAGTGTATGATCACAGTGGGGTTCAAGCTAGGGGTTAGCGCTTGAAATTTATTCCCCACAGAACTGAATTGAAATGAATATTTTATAAGAGTAGGAAATTAGGAGCTGAGCTGAACTGAACTTAACTGAAATGAATATTTTATAAGAGAAGGAAATTAGGAGCTGAGCTGAGCTGAACAGAACTGAACTAAGCTGAACTCAACTGAGCTGAACTGAACTGAATTGAATTGAATTTCAACGTAAGAGAACAGGCCCTAAGTCTTCACTTTATAACAACTTCATCAACAAGGCAAGATTTTACATCAACTAAGCTACAGCGCAAATGATTTTTTTGCTCAATTATGCCAACAAATCCAAAACACTTCTTTAATTAAATACTACACAAAGGGAGAAAGACGTGTTTAACTTCTTGCCTAAATCCTTTAATCATTGACCAATGCGAAACCAGATCACCTTGCACTATTCTATTTCCCCAATTCAATTACTTGTACAATAATTCTCATCTCAAAACTTAGAAATTAACTTTAAATTCCACTAACAATTCTAAAACCCATCAAATTTGATTTCCTTCTCTCCACACCTATTAATCCCAATCAATCTCATCCAAGTTCTCATACTATAGATTTCGCAAGTTACCCTAACAAAAATTAAAACTCTACTTCAAATATATCGGAAAAATTAAAAGTACAAACACGAATTCGAATCAATTACATTACAAACCCCTTAAAAAATCTCTACTTCTATTACAAAAATTAGGGTTTAGCAATACATAAAATTAAAATACAAACTTAAAGAGCAGAAAACTTACACAAGAATTGTAAGAACGAACGACGTTGAAGATGAAGAAGACGATGAATCTGAAGAGATCATCGCGGGAAAAAAATGTTGCCGCCATAGATAGTCTAGTGTTTAGTCATCCGTGTTCTTCGCTCTCTCTCGAATATGGGCCGGTCATATTCAGTGTCGGGCCTTAAAAATCTGGCCCAACCCATATGGCTAATTTCGTTGGGTAGGAGGACAAAAATATAGAGGATTGCTAAATGTTGCCCTATGTAATTAGGACGTTGACATACTTTGAACAAGCTTAACAAACTTTCACACTTCTCTTAGCCTTTTTTTTTTTTAACTTCAAAGAATAAAATATACTCAATTTGTATTTTTTTTTTAAATAAATCACTTTGAGGTTTTGCACAATTTATATGTTACTTGTGATTTAATTATTTTACTACTGTATATGTAGTGGTTTATAAGTATGGTCATGTAATATATTGCTAGATTTGTTACAATGTTTACTTTCGTAATATAATTTTTTTATTAATATCTAACTAAAAATATTAATGGTCAAAGTTGTGTCTCGACAAGTGAGAAAACTCAAGTGATGCATTTTAAAATAAAAATAAAGGGAGTAGAAGTCTATCATTTTGACCAATATTAATTGTTTGTTTTTAGTTCTAAAACTTGTATTACTAATTTATTATCGTTGTCACTATCTTCATTTAAGTTCATACTTTGAAACATTTTTGACGAAATTATAGATTTATAGTTGCAACAAAAAAAAATATTACGGAGTATTTTTATTCAAAAAAAAAGATTTATAGGCATCTTTACTCTAACTTTTAAGTAAGGAACAATTGAGACATTTTTTTTTATAATTTGCACCCGAATTATCTAAAATTTGCTACAATCTAGTACATATGCAAAATAAATTTATAAGCTCTTTAATCCGTTAAAAATGCGAGAAAATTATTGTTTTGCAATTTTTGAAGTATGATACGACGCACTATGTGAAAAAGGGGTTAAGGTTTCAATGTTCTCAACTCAAGCTTCTTATTAATGGAAGTGTTTGGACTTTGGTCCTAGGAAGATTGAAATAGAGGTTTAAACCTAAAAAGTTTTTGTAAAAGTGGATTGAGAAACCTTTTGGAAGTTATTGATGAAATGACTATTTTCAACTTGACTACCAAAAATTCTAAAGAAATTCCCAATCTACATATTTATGTCAATACTAGATGAAGCCCGTGCGATGCACGGTTTGTTTGAATTTTTTAAAATAATATTTTTACATATATATTTATGTGCTAAAAATTGTTAAATGTTTAGATAAAATTCCTGATATTAAAAGATAATATTTTATATTTAATTAATTTAAACTGGATTATCTAATTCACCAATTTTGCTTACGTGTTAGTTAAATTATTTAATTCTAAAAGAAATTAATAATCTCATATTTAATTGGCTACCACTAAAATTTATTATCCTATGTGGCGCGCTGAAAAAATTAAATCCTACGTACCTCTCTAAAAACTCGGGAAAAAACTTCCCTTTATACATACATATATATATATATATATATATATATATATAAAAGATTGTTATTGGTTATTTTAACCTAAAAGCACAATAAATAATAACAATTAGTTATTTACAAACATTTTTTAAAAAAATAATAGTTAATGCAAGTAATAAATCAAACCAGTCAATTCAATCTGCTAAAATTAACGGCTAACGGCTGGTCACAGCTTATATTAAAAACATGAATTGCAATTGGTTTTGTTAAAGTTAGAATTTTGGAATTGAATTTTCCAAGTGGAAATAAATGAAAGCAATACACAAAAAGTTAATAATGTATTTTATGCAATTAAAATTACAAGTGGGTATGCTTCAAAAAAAAAATTACAAGTGGGTAAAAAAGATTAAAAGAGGCAAAAATCTTTTTAGTTTTATAGAATTCTCATGGTCCCCAAATCATGACACCTCCTTATAAAACTTGACATTGTCACATCAAATAATGTCCTAGCTAGCTAATGGCTATAGACCCACATGAAGCACACAAACTTCCTTTGCAAAAACTACTTTTTCCTTTTTTTTTTTTTTTTTTTTTTTTTTTGAAACAACTACTTTTTCTTAGGCATGGGAATTAAGTGAAGTATTTTGATGCGAAGCTTTAATGGATTCTTCACACGAGTGGAAGAAATTGCAAAGACTAATAGAGTGACTCCTAGGGTTACTACTAACTAGCATTTGACTGCTTTTATTTCTTTACCTCTTAAGAACATTTCTTTGTGTTCTTTAGGTTTTTTTTAATGAGTTGTTATTTGATTATATTAGTAAATGCTCCTAGAAAGGCATTGATTGATCTAGTTAACTACTAGCAGACAGAGAAATTCTAAAGATGAAGCAAAGGCTAACGTCTAGGGATCTCTTTATTGTGATTGATAGTTAAGAAAATAACTCGATATAAACTTGCATGCTTATATATGCTTAAGTTTGTTTTATATGGATTTCGATCTACCTTCAATTTATGCGTAACATTGGAGTTTGGACATTTTATAAGAAACTAGCTTTTAAAGCAATTTTTTTGCAAGAAACTACCTTATAAAAAAAATGTTGTAATAAACTACCTTATAAAAGCTAAATGTTGTAAGATACTACCCTTGGTCGGAAAGTGAGAGTTGACTAAATTTTTCCGGCGTTGACCAAGTCATGTGCCGGTCACATGACATTTAATTCATCTTGGGTATTATATGGATAGGCCCGGGGAAAATTAGGGGGAAAAATGGGGAAAGATGAATTAAACGTCATGTGACCGGCACATGACTAGGTTAACGCCGGAAAAATTAAGTCAACTCTCACTTTCCGACCAAGGGTAGTATCTTAAAACATTTAGCTTTTATAAGGTAGTTTTTTACAGCATTTTTTTTATAAGGTAGTTTCTCGCAAAAAAAAATGTTTTAAAAGGCAGTTTCTCACAAAATATCCTTTTATAAATTAACCGAAAAATTAAAAGAGTATGGTCGTTGTATGATTCAGAATGTCATTAATTTGGTTGTAATTTTCATTTTTGCAGATATGAGATTAAACACACACACCAAAAAAAAAAAAAAACGTTAAATGAAGATAAACTATAATTGACTGTCATTGTAAAGATATGTGTCTAATCTACATGATCCTTATAAACCTTGTGGATAGATGCTTACATCATCTAAATACCTGGCCTTACTAGTTTATTTAGTGAATGTTATCGACCATCCATCTAAGATCGACATCTTTGACTGTTTTCAATCTAAGTTTTTGAAGGCACTCTTTACATATTATCAATGTAATTTTGTACTTGCATACAAATTAATAGATATAGATACATTATACATGCATATTGTTTACATATGTATATAAAGGTAGGTAAAATAACAAATAAAAGCATATGAGATAACTAATGTTTAACATTATAAACCATGAATGAAAGCACAAACTTATTAAGGAGGTACTAGTATAACCTAATCATAATAATTCCTATATTCTCTACACTTGTATGTATAAGAATCAAACTCTTAACCTCTGAAGTTAGGTTAAGGAGGCCGACTTGCGACTAACGGTTCTACTTGACGATTCTAATTCCAAAATTCTACATCCATTGAACATTAATTAACAAAAGAAAACAAGTACGAAGTATATAAGTCGTTTTAGCAGTAAAGCAAGACTTAATGCAGGTAAATCATAACAACAGACACAAATAGGGTGACGCACTACATTTTAGATGTTGACTTTTCTATGCTTCAGTCAACAAAAAGCCCATCATGAGCATGTTAACAAGCCCAAAAAGTTTGGGAGTGGAATTAGTTGGAAGGCCCACCAACCTAATTTCTTCCTAAAAAAACTTTGGCATGAATGAATTAAAAAGGGCACGCCAGATTCACTTCAATGATACCAACAAGTATTATATTTTATATTCATATAAGTTTATTAAATTCCAACTGAGAATATTTGTATAGTTTAGTATTGGAAGCTTTGACTATAAATTTTAATCAAGATTTTGTTGATGATTTGCACCAAATGGCGGTTTTATTTGTCAACCAATGCACTAAGTGAAAAACACAATGAAGTCACATGAGATAAATTAGTGCTCATTAATTTACTTTAACCTTATTTGACATCCAGTATTAAATTGTGTCAATACTTGTTTACTCTAAAACAAGAGTATTGGTTGCTCATTTCGATGATTATAACTCAAATAATCATTAAATGAGTAAAAAGTGTACTTAAGATGCACCATACATCTAAAAGTTGATTTTTTTTTGCAGTTTTCTTTAACATGTTACGGTAATGGTGGTCTCATCCACCATCCTTTGAGTCATTGAGACATTGACCACCTCGCCCCACTGTTCTACCATCCCCTATGCAACTATTTCTATCACCGCCTAATATTAAAGTTTAAGGAGTTATTTAAAGCTTGAAATCAAATTGTATTTATTACCTCCGTTTTATTTTATTTGCAATTTTATTTGTGAGATATAAAATATTTTACAAAGTTGCAAATAATGTGAAATTGAGGTAATATATCATTTATCTTTCGTGGCTTTACCAATTAATAACAATATAAAATTAGGATTTTTTTTCTAACAAAAGCAAATTATAAACTAATCATCTAATTATGTTTTCTTTTTCATCTGCAATAGTTAAATACTTGCAAAATTAAATGATTTTCCCTTTGCAATATTCCCTCTAGCCATTGCTGCCTAGCTAGGTGTTCGACTTGTAAAACGTTCCCATCATCAACCTATAAGCTAGGGATTCTTTAATTTATTAATTGTTTGATCAATCAACCCATAAGGATTCTTTGTTAATAATTAACTTTGGAAAGAAAATATATGTAATGATGGTCCACTAATAAAAATGATGCATATTAATATACCTTCGTGCACATTAATAAAATATTAATTCCCGTGAAATGATTGGAAGAAGAATCATCAAAGAAATAATGGAAATCTTCATGTACAATATGGGACATTTTTTTCAAAAGAACAAAAAAAATAATAAAATGCTTTTCCTAATATCCCATTTTTCTTTTTTTAAATTTTATCATGCAAAAAAAAAAAAAAAAGGACATAAAAATGGAGTGCCTTTAAGTAAAAGCTTATGGATATCGTATTAAGATCTCTAGCTATGTGTTGATTGGATGGTAAGGCCACGTAATAAATACCAAGTATTTATTATACATGAATATAACATCATGATATAGTTCCTCCATTAAGCTAAGGGGTGTTGGTCAAAGGTAAAGCTTGGAATCATTTTAGTTAGTTGAGGTACTTTTTTTTATTTTCTTATTAATAGAGATGTTAGTTGAGAGGGTATTAATTTCAAATTTTTAATATATGAGGTACGAAGTAATATTTTTCGAATTTTACTATTATATATGTAAAGTAAGAGTAGTGTATATGATCGCAGGATTTGTAACAATTGAATCAATATATTTGTGAAATATGGTCGTAGGGTTTCTAACAAATTAAT